TCTCACCACAAACGAGGCCTGCTTTATTACCCTTACCCTACTGCTACTCCCCAAGTCCGATCCCCTGCTCGCCTCTGGCCCTGTCTGTCTTGCTTTGCTTGTTCCAGGTCCCTTGCTGTCGATCCATTCCTGAGCACCCCATGCTATTTTCTACTGCCTTGGCTTTGACTCAGATGCCTTGCCTTACCTTACCCTGCCCTAGCAGGCCACTATGTGTACTTACTTACCTTACTGTCCTCCGTACCACCTATTCTTTGGTGCCAGACCAGCAGCCCAAATTCTTTCACCAACAGCGCTTGGATCTCACCGGCTCCCCGCATAAATCAACAACACCATGACTGAGAGCCGACGTTGCACAGCAGGGGCTCTCTTCTCATAGTCTACGGGCGTGCATGAGCGTGTTCGCTTAGGGAGCCAGGGGGGGGGCAACATATCCTCAGTGTTGCGATGCTCACGCTTCTCATGCTGCGGGCGGCGGTGACAGTATTGCATTGTTACAGTCCCCAGACGAAAATGAGTTCTCCTCCTCCTCCTCCTCTTCAGTTCACCTGCTTGCATAGCTGAGTGATTCGTCACTTCTCGCTTCAATCATGCAGTCTCGCGTGCAAAGAGAAAAGAGTCGTCAGGATACGTGACATCCTGGTCGTGAAGCCCATTAATCCTAGGGCTCAGACACGGCACAGTCTCGCAGCCTACTTACATCCTTGACAAGTGAGTGAGCAGCCCGGGCTTCACGGGATGGATGTATGCATGTATGTATCCGTACATATCTCCATCTGCAACTATACACATACAGTACCCAGGGGAGGAAAGAAAACTCGAGACCTTGATCCTAAATGACAAAAAGACTTAGGTAAATTTACATAAATTTATAATATCTACACTAAATTTAGGATATCTTTTACTGGGTTTATTTTGGCACCCTATATAAAGGTCTTGTGTTTTCTTGCTCCCCGAGGAGTACATGGAAAATTGGTGGCTTTGTCAGAACTCATATGAGCGCCCTCAAAGTTCGCTTCCCGTCTTATTCTGCTGTTGCCAACATGGTTCTCCTGGGAATCCTGGGCTCAGTAAGACCGGCCTGTTCCGTTCATGATCCTGAGACTTACATGCTTCCTGTTGTGATTGGCAGGTCGGGCATAGGTATAGTAGTATTCACCACCCTCTCCTATATGGTTCCTTGGTGACAGATCACTAATACAGACCAGTCAGTGCTTAATGAAATTGGACGGGAATAAAATGTTTCATTTCTCTGATATGCTGAAACATGGTCCCTCACATATCAAGCTTAAAACACCTTATGTTCAACCTGGGTCTCATACAGGCCAAGACCTGATCAACTCGTAGCTCGTCTTCTCAAGAGACGACACCGAAACCCGAGCACGGAAATAAAAGCCACCTTGTTCCATGTTACACGAGGATTTGGATACGACTTCGCACTGGAAGTATACGTATTTACAAGGATCGTTTACTATTTTCAGCCTTCAAAGGATCTTCCCCCAACAGATCTCACTTCTCGGTATGCATCCAACCAAATCGAGAAACCGGGCCAAGGGATATTCGAGCCCCGTGCCTTCTAATCTGACGTATCTCAAAGTCTCACTTATCGGTGAGGACGGTTCTTGTCTCGCGGTTTCGACTGCAAGGTTGCAGAATAGCAGGGTTGAAACGGAAATGTCAAGGGAACAAACGTCGATAATCCTCCGGATACTGAACTAACAAGGCACGTTCGCTTGGGTACACCATCCGGACGTGTTATCTCGAAACATTGCTGGCAATGTGCTACCTACTGAGTCACATTATTCCCGGGATCTGCTTCTTTCCAAGGCGAAACTTCAAGGGTCTGCATGGCTCGGTTGAGCGTAAGCAGGCTGCCTAGATATCTATGAATGGAAATCACAGTAGCGTTATATGCTGACCGCAAGTGGGAGTGGTGAGTTGATGTTCATGCCGCCTCGCATGTTTCTATACCCGATTATTCCGGGGAAAGGATTCGTTGTCATGTGCGGTAAGCACAGGTGCAAGTTCTTGTCAGCCCCCAACTTTGATTGTCAATATTGGTTATGGATTCAGCTCCCATCTGATAGAGGAGTATCCGAGTTGGTTGCCTGTTATGAGAGTACAACTCCCCTTTGGGTGATGTGACCGTTCGAGCGTCCCGATACCGCGGTTCGGGAAATGCAAGAGGGGGGCAAAGTTGTACTCAAATTGTATATTGATCATGGAGATCTCTTGTTGGTGTTGTCGCGGGCCGATTACAGCCAGCCAAGTACCGTATAAGTCTGTAAGTTTACCATAGTCTAACTTGACAACCACATGTTGCCTCCAACAAAGAGCGTGTGGCTTGATTGTGATACGCCTCGTGGTAATAGCTGTTGCTGAAACATGAGCAGTTGATTGGTATAGATGATAAGCGCGATACAAGGCAGACGGTGAGTGACGCGAGGTGATGATGCTGGGGTGACGGGATCTTCAAAGTCAATCGCAAGCTACGGCCAACTCAATAGCCTTATTTCCTCACTCTCAGTCGTATTCTCACACTTGTAGTCTCGTCTCGTCTGGCAATATCGAGCTAACACTAATCGACACCAACAAGTCATTAAGAACCCCTGCTTGTGTAACCCGAAGCTCTGTGCAACCATGAACCCATGCAAGGCGCCCATGTCGTTTTGAGGCTGAAGGGTTGGCATGTGAGCAGCCTGGTTCGACTATTGATGCAAGTCGCTGGTATTGTACTGTGAGGCAGGGGCATGATGCTACTGCAGTGTCAGGCAAAGGCAGATGTCTTTGTTGTCGAGTCTAGGTATGCAAGTACCTCTCAAGTCTCACAACTTACAGGCTCTGAGTCGCGCATGACAGTTCACGTCATGAGTTGACAAAAGCGTCACGGAGCATTTTAAGCGAGCGTGACGAGTAGTGGACTAATGCTGATGTGATGCTACTCAATATTTCCCAGGTTTAATGGTGATACCGTGGTATCATGAACAGGATGGCAGTGTTGTTATCTTGCTCATGATCAGTTCGCCGATACTTACTACAAATGGCCAAGACTGATATCAACCTTGAGAGGCCTGAGAGGTTGTGGCTACCATTACCCCTTACTCAATCATAGAGGACGGATACTGGATCTGTTGGTGAATTATTGTTCGAAGCATTCAAAATTCCGACGATGATTTTTCAGAATGTTATTATTATGATCAAGCAGATTCAAGCTATCCGTATAGGTGATTGCCATATAAAGCACAGTAGAAATAGAACCTAAAAACATACATTCACACAGTACACCAGAAACTCAGGACCCAGGCATCCGTCATTAGTTGGGCACCATCCTCCGACTCTGACTCCGACGTTACGACATCGCAACTTTTCCACTCCTTCCAACCAACGAAACTCAACCCCAAACAAACCCCAGGAGAGCCACGTTTCTTCAGCTCTCCCTAGCAGCAACAACAGCCGAGCATCCCGTTCCGTTTCGCACGCCTACTATTCTCCGATTTGCTACTCGTACCACGTTGACATCGTCCCCACCATTCAAACGCATCACCCACTTTCCGAGGCTTTCGCAATGGCTGGCAAGAAGGGTGACAACAGCAAGAAGGTAGCGGGCAACGCTCGAAAGGCCGAGGCCGCCGCCCAGAAGCAGGCCGCAAATGACGCCCGTCAAGAAGCTGCCGAGGAGGAGAAGTGGAACAAGGGCGCCAAGAACAACTCCAAGAAGTGAGTGCTGATGTCGCTCGAGGGCGCAGCTCAAGGTTACTGACATCGCTTGTAGGGAAGCTCAAGCCGCCAAGGCTGCTGAGGCTGAGAAGAAGAAGGCCGAGAAAGCTGCTCTGGAGGCTGAAGACGACGCCAACACCCCCGGAAAGGCACCCAAGAAGTCCAAGGCTCCAGTTAAGAAGTCGCGCGGTCTTGATCTTGCGCAGCTCGACGGCGACGATAAGCCCTCTGCTATTAGCGCATCCGGTATCGACAATGCTCTCGACGCTCTGGCTCTGACAGGCGGCAAGGACGAAAAGGTCGACCGACATCCCGAACGACGATTCCCCGCCGCATTAGCCAAGTACGAAGAGCGACGACTCGAGGAGATGAAGAAGGATGGCAGCGGCGTCGGCTTGCGCCTAGATCAGAGGAAGACCAGAATCAGAAAGGAGTTCGAGAAGCACCCCGACAACCCTTTCAACCAGGTCACGGCTTCGTATAACGCTTCGAGGGACGACATGGCCACGATCCGGGCACAGGAGAAGGCCAAGATCGAGCAGCGCCTCGGACACTAACCCTGGTCTTTGTTTCTTTTATTGGCATTGCGGGATACCATCATGAGAAGAGGGCATGCATGGCTGAGGATTTAAAAGTTTCATGACGGAGTACTTGCTTGGGAATAGACCATGGCTTGCATCTTATTGAGATGAAGGTGCTGCTACGATTTACGATTATGGGTCTACAGGAAGATACTCAGAGGATAGGGTTTGAGTAGACAAATGCTTTGATTCGTTTTTTTCTTCGGCATCGTGATATCACAGTTTAGGTACCTTACCCCACCGGCATGAGATGACCCCGCGGTTAGCCAGCCCATGGCAGAATCTGCGCCGCTGTAGGGTAGTGGAAGCGGTATCATGACCTTGGATCTAAAGCTGTCATGATACGTGCTACAGCGTGCCTATATTTCTTAAAGCTCCTATAAATACAGAGACTTAGATTTCCCCGAGCCAGTTTCTTTCATAATAATAATGATGGCCCATTTAACCTGTATGTGGTTCACGACTTGGAGTGCATGAACATCTCACACCCCACCATGTAGTTAGCTATGAGTCTTCACCGCCTGCCAGATAGCACCCAAGAGCTCTGAAGCTTCGAGATCTAACAACGACAAACAAATGTGACACAATCTCTAAAACCGATTCAGTTCCCTACACCTAGGTTCCTGATACAATATAACTCCACGATACACAGCATCTCGATACGCGATTACGCCTGTAGCATCAATGCCGCCCTTCAATAATATGAGCGCATTGCCATCGCTGCGCAAACAACAGCTCCTCTCAGAATTGTTTGTTCTTTACCAAGAAATACTATAAAGTACTGGGTTAACATGGAAACTCAGCGCTGGACTTAAGCAAGCATGTCCTGAGGGCATATTTGTTAGTCTAACCCCAGGCGATGCTACGCTCTGGTCTGGTGTTCTCTTCGTTCGCAAAGGTAACCAACACTCGTATACTTCCCCGACTCCAGGCCTTGATCTACGATGCTGATCTTGTGATTCTTATAGGCCCCTATTGCCCTGCTATACTCAGATTTCAAATATCATTCCCCGACTCGTATCCCCAACTCCCACCTCTGGTCGTCTTCTCAACAGACATGTTCCATCCTCTCATCACACCCTTGACAACATACATGTACACAACCGATATCCAAGAAAGTGGCACAGTGAGCGCCTCGGATCAAGAGCGATTACCACCAGGAGGCTTCAGCTTGCGCCATGGATTCTCGGATTGGTTCGGACGAGGACGACGGAGTATGGTGGAAGCGAAACAAGCGCCTGTGACGAGTCCTGGTTCGACCGGTAACTCCACAACATCAGCAAATCCATCATCGGGAACACCTTCTTACATGCGCACTGGGAAAAAGAGTGTCTCAGCTTATGAAGTTCTACACTACATCCGCAGTGCCTTTGACACAGAAGAAGTTCTCGACTCGGTACCCCTCGCGGCGGCAGGAAATCCAGGAGCTTGGCACGCATGGAGAACGCACCGCAAAGCAACGGGGAAGTTGGTGGAAGATACAACTGCAGAGGAGGAGCAGAAAGAACAAGAACAGAGCGAGCATAGGCCAGAGAGCGTAAAGTCGGGGTCATCTACGGCTACCCCAAGACGACCTGGAGAGTGGAATTGGGATGGGGTCTGGGAGGATAGAGTCAAGAAGAACGTTTCTGCGAGCTTGTCGGAGCCTGTCCTCTATGGAGAGACCAAGAATTCAGACGACCTGGTAAGTCTTCTGCCCTTAATGTGGCCACTTCTCCAAGAAGCTCTACTTACTAATTCTGTGCCTATAGATCAAGTTTCTTGCAATGGAGGACACTGATATCGACTCTGTGAAGGACAACCTGCGTCGAACACTTGGGCAAGCTACATAAACTTAACTTGCCTTAGAGTCCATACTCGTTTTAGTCTCTGGTGTTTTCGACTTCAGGTTCTTTAGATGCGGCCTTGCAGTTGTGCCTTAGGCAGCTAGCTGCTGCTCAAGGGCAATGCTTTCGATGTCAGGGCAGTGACTCTGCACCTCTTGTCTTACCTTAGCGTACCTACCATAGCATGATCTCCCGTTCTACTCTATTCACTCTAATAGCAAGAGCAACCTCGATACCCCTAAGGTCCCTCCCGAACTTGCTTTATGCTCCGTTCGTCTCCAGTAGCTGAATCTCAACTGAGAATGTTCATCACAACAACAACAACAACAACATCGTCTTTCTTCTCATTGTATGCATAAAGCATGCTACTGTTGCATCTCGAAACTTTGGTCATTCTCAACATTCTTGCAATTTTACATTACTTACCGCATCGTATAAGTTCCTTGACCGGAACGGAACAGCCACCATCGTTGACCAGAAACTGTATGACATTCGCAAAGGCCTAAATAAAAGGCCCACCGATTCCACTTCACTACATAAAGAACCAGAGATACACATTATAGGGAGGGACCGGTCGATTACTCCACTACAGTATACATCATGATGTCGAACCAAAGTTATGAAGATCTGTCCTACTGGGGCACTTGTGCCTCTGATCCCAGCGTCGTCTGCGAAAAGCCGAGTCCGTTGAGAATTGTGAAAGCTGACGAGAACATGAATAAGCGACATACGACAAATCAATCTAACCCAGGTAGCTCAAAACACAGGCGGTCAATTCAGGGGGACGGGTCTCTTACAGTCGCCAAGAGGCGCAAGATCAATCCAGGACAAACAGATGCAGATAAAGAAAACTTAAGATGGCCACATGATGACCCAGGTATGGGAGAACAAGGCAGTCTAGCCTTGCGCGAAGCCAAATGCTAGGTGCAGAATGATGATAGTCCACCCCTACGCTTGGGGATCACGCCCTCACCCCAGCTATCAGTCAGGAAGACAAGACAGATGCGCCCAGAGCCCAGGGGCCAACTGGGACAAGACCACCCTTTTCCCTCCCCGATATCAAGTGAATTGCCTGGGGTGTGTGATACGCGGCGTCCAGTCAAGGTCCGCCCACCTCTGACCAATATATATGACAGGGCTTTTCTGTCTCATGCAGATTTACCGCTTGCGCTTCATGCAACAAGCCGGGAAGAAGAGTCGCCACTATTCAGAAGAAGTCCACCTGTGGCACTGACTGAGTCCTTCAAGACACTACCCCGGCCAAGGCTAGAAAGCTGGTCAACACCAAAGATTACCATCACACCCGAGGCCACCACCATCGAAGAAGGTTGCCACAGATTTTGGGTGGCTATCGAGGTCTCAGTCAGACGTTGGCCTGAAAGTGCGATGAAATGTGAACCAGGGGCCCGTTAGGAGCGGCCAGATCTGTTTACGGATCTTGCTGATTTGACACAATATGACCAAGAGAGTACGCATTAAAGCCCCGTTCTGGAACAAACAGGTACTGACGGCATACACAGCAGGGGAGATTTGCGATGATATTGGCCTTGGCGATTTGGACGTCCAAATTCTGCCAACGGAAGAATCTTCGGTTATTCGCATTCTTCAGGAACAGCCCTTTCCCATGTAAGTACACAGACGAACGAGATCGACATATTGATCAAGGCGCACGCTGATTCACGGGAATAGTCACTGCTTGGACCCCGGATCAAGCATCTTTCTTCTAGCTCAAGTTCAGGTCCGTGTCTCAAAGGCTATGCGGCGATGCAGACGGAAGCGTTCACGGTCAGAATCGGACAACCTGATAGAAGCGCTTAAGGAGGAGTTGGGTGATTCTACCGTGAGCTACATGACCGTGCGGCTTTCATATCGAAATTCGGCGTTTCCCATGTGTCAAGACATGGGAATTGTGGAGGACGACATGTTCAGCATGCAAAGCAAGATTGAGACGGTAGCCACAGCCTCCGTGAAACTCCACAATGCCATGTCGCTTTGGTCTCCTCCGCCGGTTTCAAGATCCAGCCCACTATTGCCACTGGTAGAGAGACACTGGGGGACGACGAGCGCCAGAAAGGTAATGGCACAAATTGCTGCAGAAAAATACGGCCCCAGGGATTCAGAGCAAACGTACTGTTTGCAACAGAAGTATTCAGAAAAAACTGGCTATGGCACACATGGAAAGTCCACTTGGAATCATAGCCCTACGCCTCGGATTCCTCTCAGAAAGGCAAGCCTTCAGCGAGGCTGCACCGAGGTCGATCACCATAGTAGAGGAACGTCCTCTCAATCTCATCAGAGATTGAGGCAAGGGTCGTCCAGGTGTGGTAGCTATGCGTCAAGCTACTTGTCAAGGCAGAGTCGTGAAGGTCTGCCAGGGCCGAGAACCTTTAGGGGCGCGGGGGTGAGCAATTCGGTCCATACACGACCAAAAGAAGAGCACAGCCGAGATGGAAGTGATGTTCCTGCTACCCAAGGCCGAAGGACCTTTTCTGGCAAATCTGACAGCAGCACGTTATGGAAGAGGCGGTCACTCGGCGCTGACACCCTCAGGGGCTTGTTACCTTTGATGGCGGGTTTGTCCATAACGACAAGGGAGCAGGAAGTGGAGGAGCCCCGAGTAGCTTCGCCAGCGCGTAGCAGAGGCAAAAAGGATGCAAGCAAATGGGGATGGGCGTCATGGTTCTAGACTGATCCAGGTAGCAGACGAAATGGAGAAACTGTACACGTAGTGAGATTCGAATACTTTTTGTTGGATTGTCTACGAAGAAAGTGGTATTGCTACCTTGTCTAAAGTTCGTCTTTCCAGGGGATGGAGATCTGAGCACCCTTTCGCGCAACGGTCAAGGCAGCTGCTCGATTGGCTGCCGCGACAGCTGCTTCAATATTAAATTGGCCATCTTTGGCGGCTACAACGGCCAGGGCGTAAGAACCAACAAAGGTATCACCCGCGGCCGTGGTGTCCACTACGGTTGTCTTAGTCGCCGGAAGCAATGCGCTCTGGCCTTGTTTATTGACGAAATAGACACCACGGCCTCCGAGGGTGATGATGACATTGTGGACTCCACGATCAATGAAGACACGGCCAATGCGGTCCAAGCCTTGAAGGTCATCAAGCTCAGACTCAGCACAATCTGCAAGAATAGCGGCCTCGGTCTCATTAACAACGAGATGGGCCAGCCCATCGTAAGCATCCATAGGCAAGGGCTGAGCCGGTGCTGGGTTGAGAAGTACGGGAACACCATCCTTTTTGGCAGCTTTCAAAGCCTGCATGACAGTATCGAAAGGAATTTCGAGTTGCATGATCAGAAGGTCAGGACGGGGGCCAGGAAGGGTCTCAAACTCAGCAGGCTGAAGAGAGTGATTGGCTTCAGGAGACAAGATAATGCGGTTCTGGCCAGAGGGCTCATCCACAATGATGATAGCTAGGCCAGACTTCTGGTCTTGGCGGATGGCTACAGAATCGACAGCAACGCCAAAAGAGCGAAGGCTATCAAGCAGGAGGGTGCCATAAGGATCGGCGCCAACAGCACCCACCATAGAGACGACAGCCGAAGGATTGGACAGGTTCGAGTCTCGAGAGAGCTTGCCACAAGCAACAGCTTGGTTAGCGCCCTTACCGCCTGGCGAAGTGTTGAAATGGTTTGAGGTGAGGGTTTCACCAGGAAGGGGATGATGTGGGACATAGGAAACGAGATCCATGTTGAGAGAGCCCAGAATGGTGATGTGTGGAGTGCTAGCGTGAGAAGCCATCGTAGAGGTGGGTTGGAAGAGATTTGCAGAACGGGTTATTGCGGCTGAATCAAGGCTGGTGTTGCTTTCGCAATATGATGCTGTCTGTGTGTAGTTGAGGATGTAGTATCCGTACCCCGTAGTTGAATTGTCACGTCAGGGGTTGGTATTAACAGCCGGAAGCCGACGGCCCTCGTGTCTGTAGGTAGCGCCAGAGAGAGGCCGAGCGCAAAAGCAATGGTTGAAACAAGTCCGTTTATTTGCTTTTCTCAGCGTTTACGCGCAAGGATTCGCCGGTGACGCCGCAAACTTTAAGATGGTTTGTTCACAATATTGATTGACACGTTCAGCTTGCGGTGAAGAAGTTGTCAACTTGAGCTGCTGTTGTCGAGACCCAAGTCATGTGGACAAGATGGATCCCGCCTGCCCGAGGACGGTTAGAGAGCTGCCCGAGGGGCATGCGCAAGTGGAAGGTGAAAGTCATCACGTTTGGTGTGGGGTTGTTTCCATTTTGTCCTGCCTTCCTTGTCCTACCTGAATAAAGCCTTCGTTTATACATAAATGGGGCAGCGAAGATGGAAAGTGTTTTAAATTGAGAAGGAACTGTTTCTTCCAATCACGTCCCTAGGAGCGTATTCTATTTCGAGCATCATCAGAAGAGACAATTCCGCAACTCATGGAGCATCATGAGCTGTACTCCGTACATGTACCCATATTTACTGAGTGTCTAAAGGCACTATTGAACCTAGGCCTGATTACAGGTACATATGCAACAGACCAGACCAAAGACAGTTATGACAAGTGAAGTGCCGGCTCCTCACTTTAGCGTCGGTATTGAACCACATTGTCTCGCTCATCCTCTATTTCTGAGCCGTCGGTCCGTAGCTAAATCAGCACATGAATCAGTTCGACAACGACCTTGTTTAGGGGAGGAAAGAAAACTCAGGACCTCGACCCCAAATGACAAAAAGACTTAGGTAATTTAGCATAAACTGTGCCTAAATTTAGTATAAACTTGGGATACCTTTCGCTAAGTATTTTGTCAACTTACGTCAAGTTCCGATGTTTTCTTGCTCCCTGAGGGCGTGTACAGCTGCGGCAACTAAATCCTTAGCTCAGAAGAAAGTTAAGTGCTAGCTTAGGGGGCCTTTCTCGTTCTTTTTGTCCACTAAACTTTACTAAACGAGATGGTGCGCTCTGTTTCCCAGGGGTTGAAGCTCGTGGCGGATGCTTTGACTTTCGCGTAACGAGGCAACCCAGCCAAGATCATCTGGGCC